GGAAGGAAGGAAGGAAGGAAGGAAGGAAGGAAGGAAGGAAGGAAGGAAGGAAGGATTTACTGCTATAGGAAACCTTCTAAACATATTTTTAGATAAAACTACAAATGCCTTAAATCTTCAGAGCCACAACGGGGCTCATAATGATCTGATATAAAAGCATTCTTTTTGGCCAAATGACGAGGTTTGTTTTATTTGACATTATGCTTTTTTAAAGGTACAGGAAGAAAGGATTCCCATAAGGTACATGGACCCCCAGCTTTAGCTGGAGAAATTCAGATTCTCGGAGCCTGACTGCAAGACCTCAAGGGCAAGAGCTGCTTCCTAAATCTCGTTTCCAAGGGAGAGATTCAAATATGACCCCATTTTAAAAAAATTCTTAGCAGGCCATCCATTCAAGACACATGTTAATCACAATAACACTGGCATTCAACTTTCTTGAAGTCATTTCTGCATGTTGTTTTAATGGACCCATTAGAATGGTTCACAAATGTATTTGTATTTCAGCAGTTCAGTGGAAGGGGGTCATAAAAAAGTTATGTAAAAACAGAGGGATTTTTTTTTTCGTCTCTTTTTACTTTGAAGTTACTTAATTTTGTGTGGTCTGGGATTTCATTACAGTCAAATAGCTTGGGCTGGCTAATTCAACACCCAAGCAAATTATCAGCTGCCACCGAGAAAGGAAAAAGAAGGAATTTCTTGAATTTCAGCAACTACACAAAAGACTTGCATATGTCAAAATGCCTGACTCGAGTCCTGCAAATGTAACACCATTCATCAATCCTCTAAGTAGTGTCACTTTAGCCAGTCAAAGTGAGGCTGCCCTGCTGGCCCCCCTCTCCGGCTCTTGAAGAGGACGCAAGTGTACTCCTGGTATCCCGTGTCTCCCAAAAGCCTACTCCCAGCATTTCTACACACATCCCAGGGAAACCTACCGCTCCAGGGAGGCAGCCAACAGCCAGCCCGTCTTGGGAGGGGAGGGATGGAAATGTGAGGAGATCCCATGACATGGGCTTCCCTGGGACTGGAAAGCAGACTTGTACAAGTGGGGACAGGACAGAACACACAAGACCCTGGCCAGATCCTGTGAGTAAACAGACTGCTTCCAAGTGACACAGCCATGCCCAGAGCAGCTGGATGACAGGGACGTTTACCCCTGGCCTTCTCCTGTGTCCCTCCCTATTAAACATGTATAAGTGTGTCCACAGCTGGCACCGTCTTCAGGGAGAACCGCTCAGGGCAACCTGGCTATCTGATGCAGGGCACATTGCCCGAAGAGCATTTATTTTCCTCCTGTCCTTCCCAGATGTGGCACCAGTGTTAACCCAGAAGCCCAAGTCTTTAGAGAGTTTGAGCTAAAGGTGAGGTCTCACAGAGCAGCCGGAGTCCCTCCTTCAGCCAGTGGAGAGGAAAGACCATTTCCAAAGGACATGAAAAGCCCTAACCCCACTCCCCTTCCCCCATATACATATCCGCCTGCATTCCATGCCTGTGGTCTGTGTTTAGTCACAGCTTGCTAAGCAACCCCCAGTTTCAAAGTTAAAAAAAAAAAAAAAAAAAAAAAAAAACCTGGAGGTTTCTAAACTGAATTTTAAAAAGCGGTTTTCTGCAAGCCAAAGGTCATTCCCTGGCCCAAGACTTTGGGTTGCCAGTGCCCACTCAGGTCTGAATTGTCCGGGAGAGCTCACTGCCACTGCATGCTTACAACTGGCTTAGTTCGAACATTAAATAAAGTAGAGAAATCATCAGATAAGTGGCTGGCCTTCTTTCTCCAGCTGATGACAGCGCAAGGCTTTTGTCTGACCTAATTTATTTCTCTTTCAGGTTAGAATAAAGCACTCTTTCCTGTGGCAGGGCAACCTCTTCTGCTCACATACTGAGCTCAAGCCTACGACTTGAGCTGGCTGTGCTGCATGCAGATATCTTGAACTTGGAAGAGAAGACATTACAGAGCTAGAAATCGTGTGATCGAAGCACCCATATTCTCCACACCAAATGACAATGTTTAGGAGAGAAATGGTCTCTTCAAACATCATCCACAAAGGGTACCATCTGGCCAAAGGCATTACCCAGCCCAACTCTAGCAAGCACTCACGCCTTCCAAAGTTTTATAGGTGATCTGAGTTACCATTTTGTGTCTTTAGGGAATACTGCTGTTCCCCTTAGTACAGTGGGCACACCACCTAATAGGAGGGACGGAGAATCCAAGTGTTATAAAATCTGAGCTAAAGGATCTCTGTTCATCAAGCTGCTCTGGTATACAACTCCCCGAAGCAGTGATTCTCGGTGAGCCCTGGTTCTACGACTTGACACACACCAAGGGACCACAGCGGCCCTCACTCCTCCAGACCCCAGGCAGAGTCTCACACATGCTTTCACAACAGAAGGTAATTTTCAGAACGTCAAGACCACAGACAAGTCGGAGAGAACACACTCAGTCAAAACGAACCATTTTAATTGTCTTTAAAAAAAAAAAACAGGAAGAGAAAGAAAATTAAAGAAAAAGAAAATGCCCCCCACCTGCCAAGTGAGGGCTTGTAAATCAATGGCGATTGCTTGAAAATAGATTTCTCAAACTTATATTCTCATTCTGTCCGGCACGAATCTCTGCCGGAAAATCAATATTACAACTTCACACTTAAGACATTTTGCAGCACCGTAAACCGCCGCGCGGCTGATGGACGCGGCTCCCAGCCACCAAGCCAGGCGCCGGCTCGCAAGACACGGGCACCGAGCTCCCCC